GAAAAATAAATGGCCTCAGCTTCCGCTGTTTCCTGGACTGAGGATGGAGGAGGGGAGGGCTGTAGGCCAAAGGTGCAGCTGGCCCAGTGGGGTGGGTCCTGGGGGTATCTCCCAGATCCTGTGAGGGCCTTAGTAGGCTCCTCAGACCTTTAAGCTAGGACTTCTCCTTCCAGAGCCCGAAGACAGGGCTGTGTTGGTCACTGAGGGCTACTGAGAGCAGATTCTGATTACAAATTCTCTTGTAAAAAGGCACCTAGTACAGGAAAGACCCTACAGGAGGAAACTAAACCCCTAAGGAAAGTTGGGGCTCAGCTCCAGGAAAGGGGCATAGGAATGGGGCTTCTGCTAGGGTTCTTGGTAGGGTGAACCACAGAGGGGTCCCAGCCTGGGCATCCTGGGACCAGAGGTCGCCCCTGGTGGCAGCCAGGCAGAATGTGAGTGAAGTGCTTTTGGGAGTCCTGGCCCTCAGCTCCATGTCAGGCTATTGTTCTCCCAGTCTTCAGGGACTAGGGGGTGTGGAGAAGTCTGAGGGCACCCTCCTTCCCATTGCATAGGGCTCCAGTAGCGTCTGGGGGATGGACAGTGCCCTGTTGCCATGAACACCCAAGGGAGGCTCCACTGGTTTTCATATTGTCATTTGTGGTATAGCACTTGGGCATAGGAGGGTTGCAGGCCCCAGCAGTTGTCTGGGAAAGCTCTGTAGGGGAGGAACTTGAAGGGTCCAGGTCCAGGGTGGGGACCGAGATGGGGTGACTGCTCTGAGTGAGGTCCTAAAGGTCAGGAACTCATGTGGGGCCTGGGAGTGAATGTTTCTGAGACTGACTGAAAGTGTTGGAGCTGGATGGTGCCATTGCCCCACAAGCAAGTGCCCCTCAGCACTGACCATATTCTCACTCTGGTGGCTCTGTGATCACTACTGGACAGTGTGGTCCCGCTGGGAACCCACAGGACTTCCCTAAGGCTGGCAGCCAGGTTTAAACTGGTCTGCGGCTCATTCCCGCCATCTACAGGCTGCACTGGGGCCAGTCAGTCTCAGCCCGTCCACTGCCTCCTCCTGTACTACCCCTGCCAGGCCAGTCCACTCCCTGCATCCTGTTGGCTTAGCTTGCTCCTGCTATGGGTCGGGCTACCATGCCACTGCCCACAGCCGCAGGCTGGGCCCACCACGGATGACACCCTGATGCAGGGAGCCTGCCAGCCTCCTTGTCTTCATTCCTAGGGAGCCACAGTAGCCTTGTCTGCTCTTGTCTACAGCCTCTGGGCTTCAGTGGAGCCCAGTGAGACATGGCAGACTCCTTACAAACTGCTTCTTCGTTTTTTTTTTTTTGTTGTTGTTGTTTTTTTCAGAATCGGAGATTGAACTCAGGCCCTTGCGCTTGCCAAGGAAGCACTTATTGTACTGAGCCATCTCCCCAAACTAACTCTTGTGGTCCTCTGAGGGCCCCAGAAGGTGGGGGCCACCTCACATCTTATATAGGAGGAAAATGGACCCAGGGCAGATCGTCTTGGAGTTCCTGTTTAGCTTTGGAAAGCAGTGTCCACCAGGACAAGCAGTGCTCTTAGCTGGTGGCACCCGCTGAACTCTGCCTCAGGGCACAGAGTACTCTGGGTTGCAACGATTGACAAAGAAACCAGTCATATCAACATACATATGAAAGTGTTCTTGAAAATTTGTGATTAGGGCTGGGGAGATAGCTCAGTGGAATAAGAGCTTGTCTGGCAAGTTCAGGGTCCTGAGTTCAATCCCTGGTACCGCAAAAAAAAAAAAGTGTTCTTGAAAATTTGTGATGGATTGACGGTTTTTGTTTTTTTGAGACAGGATCTTGCTATGTAGTCCAGGGTGGTCTCAAATTCAGTATGTAGCCTCAAACTCACAGTGATCCTCTTGCCTCAGCCTCTTGACTGCTGGGATCTCAGGGATGCATCATCAGACCTGTTCTAAAATTTGTGATTTAGAAGTCAAGCCCTGCTTTATTTTATTTTATTTTTTTTTATTTATTAGAGAGAGAGAGAGAGAGAGAGAGAGAGAGAGGTGTGTGTGTGTGGCCAGCTCAGCCCACCAGGGGGCGGGGCTGGGGGATTGAACTGCGGTCCCTGATGCCTTGCCAAGCTTGTTCCAAATAGGTGCTTTAGACCACTGAGCCATCTCTCCAGCCCCGTTAAAAATGGAATAAGGAATTTTTTTTTTTTTTTTTTTTGTGTGTGTGTTTTGCTCCTTGAATGCCTTCAGGGCACTTTTGCATGGCTGGGGTGTTGTGGGGATCGAACTACAGCAAACTGAGGCTGCCAGCATTGTGGAAGCAGCCACTTAAAGAACTGAGCTAGGGCTGGGCCCCCGAGCCCTGCTTTACTATTCACTGAAAGGCAACATGTGTTGCTTGGGTGGAGTGATCACTGTACTTGTCAGCAGAAGGGTACATGTGGGACTGAGTGGTGCTCAGAGTCAGCCCAAGACCCTGATGACCACATGTGGTGCATGGGTTTGTTTGTAAGTGAAGATGAACACGTTTCTGTGGGTAGTGTGGGAAGATGATGTCACCAGTTTCCTTCACATCAGAATAAGGCCCTGTCCTGCACGTCTCTCCCATTTCTCCCAGGCTTGTCTCTGCTGTGAGGAGCTTCTCTCCATCCCCATAGCTTAGTGGAGGTCATGGGGTAGAGACACACTCCAGGCCACTCTGCCACCTCCTACCATGGAATACCCTCTGCCCTGGAATGCTACTCCTAGCTTTTCTGAGCCTTCTGCCTTGGCCTTAGTGTACTGTGTCTGGCCTATAGCTCACACCTCTGATCTACACAGAGGACAAGATCCTAGAACCCTACCTTGGTGGGGGACTCCCCTGTAGGACTCACTACACAAGGTCCCTCACAAAGTCTTCTTACTATAACGAGTCATCTGGAGGAAAGTGGACACACCCTAGAGTGATAATGTTAAGTGAAGTAAATCAGACATGAGAACTTAAATATTGCCTGGCTTCTCTTATATGAAAAAGTCAATATGTAAAAAAAGTGCAAAAGAAAAAAGATAATGGGAAGAGAAAGAAAGTTGGTATAATCCAGCATGGACAGTGTATATAATAGTGTATCTTGATTTAGTATAATTGTCTTACGTTTTTGATTTTTTTTTTTTTTTTGCCAATTAGTCTGGCTGTTAATATGCATGTATAGCAATTAACTTTATAAAGACTTATAAAAATGAATCTTACTCTGGCAGAAAAAAAGGGGTGGAAAGAAAGGGACAAAAGAATTTGGATGTGTTTGGTATGTGTGCCAATTCCTTACAATGAATGTAATCAGTATTTACTGGAAACATGTACTAATAAAAATTACAGAAAACAAAGTATAGCATCAAAACTGAAGAAAAGGGGCCAGGGAGATGGCTCAGTGGAAGAAGCACTTGCCTGGAAAGCGCAAGGGCCTGAGTTCAATCCCCGGTTTCACACACACAAAAAAAGCCCCAAACTGAAGAACAGTCTCCTTCCTGGGTCAACTTGTCCGGGAAGAATCAAGGTGGACCCTCAGACTGCATTTCCTCTCCTGTAAACTCTGTGCTTATCCCTCCGTGGGGAAATCAGATGGGTCTCTAAAGGTGACCTGCTCAGGGTATGTGCCCACCCTACTTCCCAGCCAAGAATCCACAAACTCCTCTAGCAGAAAGGCAGTGGTTCCAGGAGACCTACCCTACCTCTCCCTCTCCAATATGCACCTTGGTGTTATATGGGCACACACCTGCCCGCCCAGTTTTGAGCTAATTCTGCCTCACTTAGCAGAGGGGCGTTTCTGTGGCCAGCCTCTGCCAGCACTGCAGGACCCCCAGTTCAGGTGGTCTTTGAATGAACTTAACCCTGAGAAGTCTGCCCAGGGCTGGCTGGGCAGCTTTCATGGATCTGACCTTGCGGTTGGCTGCAAGACAGCCAAGAAACCTTTCTAGCCTGGAGCTGCAGAGCACATAATCTGGGATCTTTTCACAAGGGTAGCCCCACAATGGGTTCTGCAGGACTCACGTCAGCTCCTCGGTGTGGTCAGTCATCATTCGTCAAGGGTGTGGTTCAAGGGTGCATGGCTTCAGCCTCCCTTGGTGCCCCTGGTGGACCTGACCCTTACAGCCTGTGCTCACGCGCAGCACAGGCTTCCGGCCCCAAGGACTCGCTTCATTGCGCTGGACCTAGCTCACAGGCAAGGGGAGAACTGACAGGTGTGGAAGCTGCTGAGCGCTGTGTTCTTTCATTATGGGTCTACTGCCTTGGAAAAGTTTCGTTACTTATTGGTTCCTGGGAAACTCAATATATTTCATTAATGACACTGTTAGCCCAGGCCATTTAGACATCCCATCTGCCCTCTGACCTGGGATCTTTGCCCGCATTTCAGAAATGGAGGGCACAGTTCAGATACAGCGCTTTGGCCACTACCATTCCCCAGAACTGCGCGGCCTCGGGCGCACCCCAGCATCTGCATCCCAAGGGAAGCCGCTCACGCCTTCCCCGGCCTGGGCGTCCGCAGTGTGGTCCTTCCAGGGCTCGCTCGCAGTAGTGCTGCCACCTGTCTGCCTGTGCCTAGTCTGTGTCGCGCGTTAGCTCTGGACTGAGCGCCGCGCGGGCCGCGAGCCCCGCAGGCCGCCGGCCCTTCAGGGGCTGCTCGTCGGCCGAGGCCGGCCCCCTCCGCCCTGTCTGGTCCCCCCACCACTCCAAGAACCAGGTTTCTCTAATAAATTGTTTCCCTCGCTGCTTGTACAGATCAGAAGGGCCGAAAGGCAGGGCTGAAGGAGTGGAAGCCGCGGGTCCGGCTCTGGGTGTCGCTAGATGCCAGGGCGGGCCGCGCGACGGGGCAGAGTTCACACCACACCGGTCCCCGCTCCCTGGGTCGGAGCACCGAGCCTCGCGCCCTCCACCTCCTTCTGGGCGGCGGTCCGGCGGGTCGAGACTACACTTCCCAGGCGGCCGTGCGCGCCGCGGAGCCTTCTGGGAGTTGTGGTCCGCGGGGCGGGGACTGCGTCCCAGGATACAGCGCGGGGCCGCAGGGCGGGGGTTTGGACCCAGGGTCTCGGCAGCTGCGGTGGCAGGGCAGCTGGGGTCGGCCGGGGCCGCCGGCAGAGGGGGCGCGGGCGCTACTCCAGAGGTGACGATGGGCAAGGAAGAGGAGATCGCGCGAATCGCCCGGAGGTTGGACAAGATGGTGACCAGGAAGAGCGCGGTGAGGGGCGCGGGCCGCCAGGACCCTGGGACCCCCGCCCTGACGACACCTGGTTGAGCCCGCAGCGGGCAGGACAAGATCCCGCCCCGGCTGAGACCCCCGCCCGGGCCCTGCCCTCCACTTGTCCCCGGGACTGCCGCTCTGGACTGAACGCCGTGCGGGCTACGAGACCCGCAGGCAGCCGCCTGCCCGCCCGCCCCGCAGGGGCCCCTTGGTCGGCCGAGGCGGGCCCCCTTTCGCCCTGTCTGGTCTCCCCCTCCCCGCAAGAACCAGGTTTCTCTAATAAATTGTTTCCCTCCCTTAGCCAGAAGCCAGTCGGTGTGGGCAGATGGTAGAGAGGCTGGGAAGAGCCTGTGGGCTTTGGGAGGCCCCCGAGGAGGTCTGGCTCGCCCCTGCTGCTTGGCCTCTTGCCGCCCGGCGCTGAGCCTCAAGAGGTGCTGTGTCAAGCCGCCCAGGTCTAGCCCGGCTTCTGACACTGACAACCCTTGCAGCCTTTCGGGAAGCATCCTCAGTAGATGGTGCCAGTGTCCTGCCTGTTGTGGGTGGGGAGGGACTGGAGAGGTAGTGAAGGAGCTTCTTAACGTGACTTGTCCTTCCGGGAGGTGGTTCCTGGGAGAGCCCTGTCGGTGAAGGTGAGGAGAGGAGCTGAGTCATTTGCTCCTGAGGCCTGCGCAGCTTTCCAGGGCTGTGCGTACTGTGGGGTGCAGGGGTGGCAGTTTTCAATGTGCAGAGGTGAATGTGGACTAGTGTTGGATGGAGTTCCTGGCCAGGGCCTGCACTGGGCGAGGAGCAGGCTCTCATACGTTCATGTGTGCCCGCAATGATCCCTCCATGGCTGCACTCACCCCTGGCACCATGGACGGCAGAGTCAGGGTGGCAGTGACCTGCTAGTCAGAAAAGGAAGTGTTTCCTGGAAGGTGACAACCCTAAACTACAAATGTGTGAGATGGGTGGGGGTCGAGGAAAATGGATGAGGTGGGGGGAAATGGATGGGTCGGTAGCATGCGGAGGAGCCCAGGAGGAAGGAACACACTGTAAATTGGGGATGGAAGCCTGCAGAGGCCCAGGAGGCCTGCAGCACCTGAGAGGCTTTCTGAGGAGGTGGGGCATGTTCGGGGGTTTTCATGCATGTGGTGGTAAGTCCACTCCAGAAGCGGTGTCACCCAGTGCTCAGGGTCTGCTGCTGTCCAGAATGCCATTAGCTCTGAGGATCACCTGTCTTCTCAGTTCACGTTATGCCTGGTCCGTAGCGCAGGGTGCAGGACCTGCTGAGGGTGTGGAGGATCTGCAGCCTGAGCAGAGAAGCCACCCAAATTGTGTGTGTGTTGGAGGGGGGGGGGAGTGGGCTGTTCCCAACTCACAGTCTCAGCTGCAGGACATCTGAGTGGAGTGGGGCGTTGTCTGCCCCCTTGTGGCGAGAGGAGACATTAACATGAACACGCTAGGATCAAATGATAGGGTCTGTGGAAGGCAGCAGAGCAGGGCAGAGGGGGTGCTGCATGAGCCCATCCAGATCTATGTAGGAAAAGGTGTTCAAACAAAGTTTTGGGGAATGTGAAACTTGTCAGTGTGCTGGAAGGGGTAATGGGGCAGAGCGGCTTAAGGGGCAAGGGTTTTGGGGTTGTCACTTGGTGCTTCTGAGAATATTGAAGAATCTGCCTGCTATGGAGGGATGGCCTGTCTGCATAGCCTCTGAGGACTTCAAGGAATGAAGATCTTGGACAAGGTAGAGGAAAGAGAGCAGGGAGGTCTATTGAAGCACCCAGAGGAGTGGTGGCCAGCAGTGGACCTTGGTGCTGGCTGTGGCCGTGACCTGAGTGGAGGTACCCTAAGGTGATCCCACCCCCATTGACAGAACTCCAGGGAGCAGTTGTGCTGCACACAGGGGCATGGATGGGATGGGGCCAGTGGGCCTGGGCTATCCCTCCACTCAAGTATAGTGGGGAGGGATGTGGCATTTCTGCTCTTCTGATTTAGTGACCTGGAGTAGTTTGAGGTCAGGAAAGTTGCTGATATGGACTTAATTTGGGAAGCCATGTAAATTGTAGGATCAAGATGGCAGACTTGATTTCTTTTTCATTCCTGCCTAGGTTGGGGGCTGAGGGAACCCTGCTATGGTACCAGAGTAAGTGTGCAGAGCCCTAAGTATTTTAGGTAGAGACATTGTGGTTTCTTTCTGATGTCCAAATTGTTACAGCCTTTTGTCCCTCTAGTGGGCAGTACGAGGTAGGGTAGTCCGTTAAGATCTAAAGTCCTTTATGAAGGTCCCTTCTCCTTCCAGGAGGGAGCCATGGACCTGCTGCGGGAGCTGAAGGCCATGCCTATCACGCTGCACCTGCTTCAGGTAGGCCCTGCCTGCCCCAGTGTGGGACAGCTCTGGGGACAGCAGCACCAAGGGCATCAGGCAGGGATTCTGTGGCTCTCCCTGACAGGGGCTTGATTATTACAAACACCCATTCTGAGGAGAGGGTTTTTCCTTTTTCTGGTACTTGATGAGTATGGGCAAGGATTCCTGAGATCTCATCCTGGCCTGGGTTCCAAGTGGGATGGCTTTACTTGTCCTGGGCCAGTTCCTAGCCCCTACCCTGTGGGTCTGGCCCCTGGGGTGGGTCCCTACCACTTCCCAATACAGGCTGCTTGCTTTACAGTCTACCCGTGTTGGGATGTCTGTCAACGCCCTGCGGAAGCAGAGCTCGGATGAGGAGGTCATTGCACTGGCCAAGTCTCTCATCAAGTCCTGGAAGAAGCTTCTGGGTGCGGGTCAGGCCCTGAAGGCTCAGTGGTAGGGTGGTGGGCCCCCAAAAAGTGTGGAACCTTTGCTGGTTGGCATAGCATATGGTGCTGTTCATATGACCCAGAGCCTGGCCTCCTTGGAGTGAAAGAAGTGCTCAACTTGGGGCTAGAAGTGGATGGATGGGTGTTCATCAGCAAGAGCTGGGAGAGGTGGTTGGGGAGGCATGACTGATCGGGCAAGAACATGTGCTAGAGAAAGTTCCACATAGAACAGGGAGAAAAAGTGTTGAGGCCCGGAGTTGGGCTGCAGTAGCAAGGACATCAGAAGCCCTAGGGAAAGTGGCTGAATGGTGGGAGTCACACAGAGAGGGGCAGAACGGCAAGGCCAGTATGTGCAGGAAAGGCATGGAGCTAAGAGAGAGGGAGGAGCTAGAGCTACTACACCGGGAAGGGCTGGATTGGGCAGAGGTGCCCCCTTCTCCCCGCTTCTGGGGACAGGGCAGCTGGGTTGCAGATACATGGTTAGGATGGGAAAGCAAGTTCACATCTGGACTCTGGAAAGGTCCCAGCCTCTCCTAGTCTTTGTCCATACCCTTGGGGATAGCCACAGGACCTGCCTCTATTTCCAGTGGTTTGACCATTGGGATGCTAGTGTCACATGCATGTCCTGGTTCCCTGTGAAGGCCTGGGCAGGCTCCATCCAAGGCTGAGTTTAGGAGAATCTTTATAGGGTACATGCTTGGTCTCTGGTTGGGAGTAAGGGCAAGACCTGCTTGGTTGGGGGTTTGAGGCTCAGGCTCTTACGGGTTTGTTAGGGGAAGAGGGACTCATTGGCAGGAGGGCCTGGTGGCCTGGCACCTTGCACATCTGGTGGGGCTGGGAGCAGGGGTGAAGGGATGGTGGTCTAGCTGAAGCTAGGCCTTGGTGGTAGTCTACCTCCTGCTGTCCTGCCCTCACCAATCTGTCCTTCTGTTTTCTGACAATGACAGATGTTTCTGATGGTAAAACCAGGGATCGAGGGAGGGATACAACTCTACCCACATCATCCACAAAGAATGCCTCAGAGGCCATGGATCCCAGGTAGCACAACTAAAGGAGGGACACATTCTCCTCTATTGTCCTTCATTTCCTCCACTGATGTCCATGTTCCTGGACACTTCCCTAAGGGAGGGGCTTTTCCCAGAGGGCCACTCACTCATAGTTGAGATCTCCTGCCCCAACCATCTGAGATAGGTGGCCATGTCTGTCCTCTTGTCAAGGAGACCCCTGCCGTCTTCCTCAGCAGAACACAGCAGCAGGTCTTTAGCTGGCTTAAGGAAACCCTCTGCCTGCTTCTCCTGGCCTTGTCCTGAATCTGGTTCTCACTGGCCTGCTGTGCCTGTCTCCATCAGCCTGATGTCACTCAAGGATGAGAACCTTCCCATAAAGTCCAGCCTAGAACCAAAGGCAGTGCCTGGCTCCCTGTCCTGCCCTGCATGCACATGTGACCGCCACTGCCCCAGGAAGCATTCAGGGCCTTATTGCTATGCAGACCAGGGTGTTCTGGTGACAGGCTGTGGTGGAGAGGCCGCTTTGTTCTTGAGAAAACTGTGTAGCAGTGGCTGGGCCCAGGCCAGGCCAGGCCGAGCTCCAGACTCCTGGTGTGGGTGTGGAGTGTGGCCTCATCTATACACTGCGTGGTGGGTGTGCTCCTGGAAGCTGCCTGCTTCCGCTGATGCCTACGCAGCCATGAGGGAGCCCACCCTGTTCATTTGGGGAGTGAGCCCTGACCCACTGGGGACCCAATGGCCCATTTTCCCCTCTGGCTATCTGGGCAGACCTCAGGGGCACACTGGGCTTGAATGAAGATGAGCAAAGTCACCAGCTTGCTGGAATCTGTTAGGGTAGAGCAAATGGGCTGTGGTGGCAGGGAAGGCGCTCTGACACCTGCTTTTCTGGGGACTAGCATCTTGTTGGGGTGTGTGTGGCCTTGCATCTGAGCTCAGTGTGCCCTGTCTCTCTTCAGCCGTAAGAGGCTGGAGCTGACCAGGGTGCCATCCACCCCAAGGATCACCACATTTCCTCCGGTGCCCATTACTTGTGATGCTGTACGCAACAAGTGCCGTGAGATGCTAACCACTGCCCTGAAAACAGACCGTGAGTGCCCAGGAGCCCTGACCCCAACATGCCCTGCTGTACAGCACAGCCTGCCACTACAGAGGTCTTCCTGCCCAGCCTGTGGTCCTGCCCTGGGAACAGGCAGCGGCTCTTTGGGGGTTGTTAGAGCAGCTGGACCCTGGGTAGCGCCTCCTGGGGATGTGAGGTCCCTTATAGCCATCAAGGTACTTTACAGGCAGAAGGGTAGCAGGCAGAGAAGCTGGTGGATGGTTAGTGAGGGCTTCCTCTTACAGACGACCACGTGGCAGTCGGCGCAGACTATGAGCGTCTGTCGGCTCAAATCGAGGAGTATATCCTTTGTGCAGGGCTTGTGGGGCCAAGGCCTCAGTCGGAGTCTGTAGGTAACTGGGCCTGGCTCCCTCTGGGGGCTGCTAGAGACAACTACTGAACTGCCAGTACCTTCTCTGGGCCATATCCTGCCTTTTCCTAGGGTGTATATAGTGTGTGAGGGGGCTGTCTTGTCCTAGCAAGGACCTCCCTGGATGGGCCAAGGGCCAGTTCTGCCTGCTGTGAGAGCTAGGCCTCAGCCAGGAATGGGCGTGGGAAAGTTAGGTGCTGTAGCCTCCAGCTCTGCACAAGGCCTGGATTGAGGATCAATCCCTGCATGGCTGGGCAGAATGTTCCCCACACAGCCCCCTGAAACATGGGTGCAGCTCACTGGCCTCAGATGGGTCCTTAAACACCTGCACGCATCTTCCGGGATGTGGGAAACACAGACATGAAGTACAAGAATCGTGTGAGAAGCCGCATCTCCAACCTGAAGGACGCCAAGAACCCGGAGCTTCGGAGGAATGTGCTGTGCGGTGCCATAACACCCCAGCAGATTGCAGTGATGACATCGGAGGTGAGCACCTCAGGAGGGATTGGGGGACGCTTCTGTCAAGCTGTACACTAAGTACTTGGCCCCTACCCCAGGAGATGGCAAGTGATGAGCTGAAGGAGATCCGTAAGGCCATGACCAAGGAAGCCATCCGGGAGCACCAGATGGCCCGCACAGGTGGTACACAGACAGACTTGTTCACCTGTGGCAAGTGCAGAAAGAAGAACTGCACCTATACACAGGCAAGTTGTCCTGGGCCCATATCTTTAGGGTACCTGCAGCCCTTTTCCCACCTGTCTGGCCAGGAACCACCCTTATACCAGCAAAAATGGTGCCAGAGCAGGTGTCTCAAGTGTTGGTTTTTCTGAGTGTAAAGGTATTATCCTCCTCACTCAGGACCCCAAACTCTACATAATCAGCATCTAGGGGGTGGACCCATATGTTCTGGGGTGCTAAAGCTGGGGGCTTGATCCTGCCCAGCACAAATGAGGTGCAATGTAGGCAGGAGGGTGGTGTGTGCTACCCAACAACGGCCACCAGCCCTTCTGTGGAAGTGGATGCTAAGGTGCTCAGGGAAGATGGTGTGGACTGTAAGGGATGATGGGGGCTTGGGAGGAGTGGCCCCCTAAGTACTTGGCCCCCTACCCCAGGAGATGGCAAGTGATGAGCTGAAGGAGATCCGTAAGGCCATGACCAAGGAAGCCATCCGGGAGCACCAGATGGCCCGCACAGGTGGTACACAGACGGACTTGTTCACCTGTGCACAAGTGAACAGGTTGAGGTAGTAGCTGTGTCTGATGAAGCTTCTCCAGTGAGGTGGTGGAAACTGCTGTCTCCCTCTGTGGTTTGTGGGGGACCGGAGTCTGTATGGGGCTGAGTGAGCACCCAGTGTCTGCCAGAACTGGCCCTGGTCCTTCTGGAAAGGAGGCACAGCTGTCATCGTCTCCCTGCTGTCCCCTTTCCACGGGGCCTCAAATGTTGGGGTCCTTTCAACCTTGACTTCCAGCTCTGCATAGACCCTTCAGGTCCATACAAGGGTCTACGTTGTGGTGGTTCACCTGTCCCATAGGGTCAACACTGGCTCAGGGCAGCCTGAGATCAGGTCATGCACTGAGGTTCAGGAGCTAGCAATGCCAGGCTGCCTAGGCTAGGGGGTAGCTCTCTACAGCAGGTGTGCCACCACCCACCCACAGGTGCAGACCCGTAGCTCTGATGAACCCATGACCACCTTTGTTGTCTGCAATGAGTGTGGAAACCGCTGGAAGGTAGGTGGGTGGGCTCGGGCTGGCTGACTCCTGCCAGCCCATTCTTTGGAGGCTTGCCTCTGGGGCATCCTGTGTCGTGCACCAGGGCTAGCCATCCCAGTTATCCTGGGAGTCTGGAGGGTAGTGACTCAACCCTGGGGGGCTGCCCTGCCTCTGCCCGGGCAGTCAAGTGGGGCCTCAGCTGGATGTCTTTCTGCCTTCCTGCAGTTCTGCTAAGCCTTCATGCAGATGTGCTACAGTCCCAGGCCATGGTCTCCCACATTCCTGGTGGACACAGCTTCTCTGGAGACCCTCAGAAGGTGGCATGCTTGCTCCAGCTTGCCTGCTTGGCATGCACTGTTCTGCCTTTTGCCCCTCATTATTAAATGTTTTGTTTTGCCATTTTGCCATCCTTGGACCTTACTCCTGGTGTGCTGAACACAGCTGGGCCTCGTCCTGTGTCTGGTCCATCCTCTGTGCCACGAACACTCCTCCTTGGGGTCAGGCAGTGCTTGGGTTAGCCCTGGAGGACCAGCTCTGGAGGCAAGAGTTTGGCCCGCACTGAGATCACCTGTGCAGTGACTAGGGTGCTGGGGTGTGCACATATCTGGGCAAAGCCCAACCAAACTGGCTGTGTTGGCAAGTGGGGAGGGCCTTGCACAGATGAGACAAGCAAGGGTCCTCGAGGGGCCTCAGGGCACTCTGCCCAGCACCTACCAGCACTCCTCAGGTGCAGCTAGGCCAGCTCTTGGCCCCTCCGTGGGGATGGGTTGCCCCATTCGCCTCTGCTCAGGGAGTGGGGGTCCCTGGTCCCTGTGACCAGCTTCAGGCCACTTGAGGTCCCAGAAGTACAGGGGAATGTGTGGTACTTGTCTCATGGTGCCTGTGAGATGAAGATGGCGTTGTGCCCAGCTCCAGGGGACTCTGGGGAAGGCCATCTCCTCAGTGCCTGTACAGGCTGTCCTCCCCATCTCCTTCCAAGAACTTTGACACCTAAAGCAGCACTTCTTTTTTTTGAGACAGGGCTCACTATGTAGTTCAGACTGGCCTTTAACTCACATGTAGTATAGGCTGGCGTTGGACTTCAGTGATCCTCCTGCCTCAGCCTCCTGAGGGCTGGGTTTACAGATATGTGTTACCATGACTGACTCTGTGGTACCACTTATGGTCACATCTCAACTCTTACGAAGGCTGGCCCATCTCAGACCTTAGAAGGCTGAGGCCAGGTTATAGAGCTCATTAGGCAGGCTGAGTAGTCACCCACTCGGCCACAGTTGTGTAGGGCTCAGGTGGAACCCAAGGTGGGGACAGAGACTGCGATGATTCCTCTTCTCTAATAACCCCAAAGTGGGAATAAACACAGCGGCTCCCACTCAAAAACATCTTCAAAGATAAGACATTTGTTTTTAAGGAGCAGAGAAAGAATTTTTCTCTCCCCCTGCCTTTTTTGGATAAAACACAGTAAGGATATGTTCTCAGGTTAATGTTCATGAACATATAAAATATAATCAGGTCTTGTCCCTTGAGCCTCATTTTGAGGTTCCACGTCTGGTTCTGAGGTGCAGATAGCTCAAGCAGAAGTATGTCCTGCTATGAAGCAGATGGTGTAGAGGCTCTCTTCTCCCCTAGAGGAATGTTCTGGGTACACAGCTGCCCGAAGGGGGCCTCACTGAGGCTGTGAGCCTAATGTACACCCTAGGGCTGTTAGGAGCACTAGGCTGGCAGCCTCACTTCCACCCCACCTTGTAGCTGGAACTCCTGTTGGACCAGGGAAGACAGGGCCAAAGGGTGTGGTATTTCCCGCTGGAACTGGGTCTGGTTCCAGGGTTTACGACCCCTATCCAGCCAGGTGGAGCCATGGTGTGAACCTGGACTCTGCCTATGAGCAGTGGCTTAGGCCTCAGAGGACTGTGGGGGCTGTGGGAGTAGGAGGGCACGGTACGTGGGGGAGCTGAGGAAGCGAGGGTAGGAGTCCCGGTGCATAAGGGTGTAGATCTGCAGCTGCGCATCATCAAATGTGTGTGCTGATGGCTCCTGCATCTTCCTGTTAATGCCCTCCCGCACTCGGGAGTCCAGGCTCACCTGTGGGATGGGATGCTGAGGTCAGGAAATGCCCTCCCCTAAGCCAGCACTCCCCATCCCAGCAGCCAGCACACCTCCTTGGGGGAGAGGATGGACACATAGTCCTCGTAGATGAGTCGCGCCTTCTCATCCACCACGTGCTGGTTGGCTTCAGTCTTCAGCTCCTCACAGGCCAGCCAGAAGAGCATGTTCTCCTCACTGTACTCTGTGCGCAGGAATGCTCGGAACACGCTGCGGCCCGCAGGGCTGTGCATCAGCTTGTCGAAGGACTGCGCCCAGCTCTGTACCTCTTCAGGGCTTGGTGGGGCACTGCCAGCATTGGGACACAGGTGTCACATCTGGTTCTGCCCCACTCCCCAATATATGTGCACAGAGGCCAGACTCACCAAGCTGCACAACTGGAGAGGGGCTGCAGCTTGCTCTCACGGGAGGCCTGCCATGTACGTCGCCGCTCTTGATTCCTGGCAACAAAGGAAGGTAGGATGCCCTGGGCACCCAGGCACCTGGGCACCATCAGGGCCCCATGTGGGACATGACAGATAGGCAAGCATGACACATGGGGGCTTGGAACACACGTCAGTCTGCTACAGGCGGGGTAGCCCCTGGAGCTGGCCTTTTCATATGTCTCCCACTGAATCTGCTTGTCTAGGTTGCTGTCCTGACAAAAGTAGATTGGCCACAGCCACAGCACTCTTCCTCCTGTTTCTGGGACTTTGCAGACTCTTGGCATCCTTCTCCTTCCCTGGTCTATTGTGTAAGACCCTGTTCCTCAGCCTGTAATTGGTTTTCAGCTCCCCCTTTTTATCTTTTACTTATTGTTACAGGGTCTTGCTATGCAGCTTAGACTTGTAGTGATCCTCCTGTCTCAGCCTCCCCAGCACTGGGATTCCAGGTGTGCACCACCATGCTTGGTTTCAGTGGCCAGCTCAGCACCCCTGGGATTTTGGGGTGGCATGGCATGTGGTACCAGGGATTGAACCTGGGTCCTTGCACTTGCCATGCAGGTGCTTAGACCACTGAGCTATCTTCCCAGCCCCTTCATCCCTTTCTTAAAGAGGCCACTAACAGACCCATAGTGTAGGGCCAGTATCCACAACATGACTTGCTGGCTGATGCGGAGAGCGAGCCTGTACTATACCTGTCTAATCCTAGATCCTAAGCCCATGCTCTAAGAGAACCTTCTTCCCTGTCAGGGCTGGATCCAAGTCCATGTCCACCTGACCAATCCATCAGAAAAAGTTTAAACAGAACTGTCTGTACTACACCCTGTTCCTTTTTTGGGGGGCAACAAAACCCTTGCTCTACATCCTGCTGCTTTCAATACCTGTGTCTTGCCAGAGATCTGGCCTCAGCTGCATACTGTTTAGCAGAGCCCTTGGGGTCCTCAAGCCTGGGTAGGACCAGGCCTTTCTGTTAAGACCTCGCCAGCTTCCTCATGCTCCTAGGAAATCCTAGAAACCACATGCTTAGAAGCCCCAGTCCTGTCTCTTGCAGATGCCCAGACACAGTGCCTTTGTGCCCCAGGGCCATATGCTCCCTCGTTTGGGTCTCTACTCCAAGTTGTCCTCCACTGCACAGTCTGCAGTTTGGACTGGCTTGTTGTACTACAGTTCTTTCAGCATTCCTGGACAGGTCAGTACTGAGCTGGCAGGGGCAGTCTTCCCACAGATGATATCTTAGAAGCCACCAGAAGGCCCCAGGTGCAGGGCCTTGGGTCTGCCCCCCACACCACGCGAGCTGTGTTCCCAGGCTCACATACCAGGAGCAGCTGCAACAGCAGCACCAGCACAAGCAGCAGGGGTTGCGGCTGGGGGCCGCCCGGGGGGCCACATCATGGCTGGACATTGAGGGGGGCCTGTCCGCCTCTTCTGGCCCTGTGTGCTGGGGAAGATGGGGCTGCCTCAGCCTCCAGGCCAGAGCCCACTGGACACACAGGGCTGCTGCAGCCCCGTGGGCATGACCCTTCAGTCCCCAGGTATCTGGATCTCTCAGCAACTCTTCCCAGCTTGCCCACCCCATCATCCAGGAAGAAGGGTGGAGGAAGTGGCATACCTGCTTCTCAGCCTCATTTGGGGTGGGCATGGGTGGGTGGAAGGGGCTGCCCAGGTTCCGTGGTACCAGCTCCAGGACCCTTACCACAGCTTGGGGGTCTGGGGAGAGGAGCCAAAGTTTTAACTGAGCATTTGACTGGACCTTCTCAGAGGGGTCCTGGGAGGATAGCTCTACCTCTGATCCCTGCCCCTACCTCTCAGCCTGCTCCTGAATTAATGGGCTCTTTGCCTGCAACCCCAGTGCCGGGTCAGGAGCGAGTGTGCTGCAGCAGCTCTTGCCCCTCACTCCAGGCTAGGCCCCAAAGGAGGCCCCCAGAAGTTGTCCTGGGACGCCCCCATTTACTCAGTGCCAGGGAAGCCGGAAGCCTGGGTTCCTCTTTCTTGGTTTCCTGTGCCCGGCCCCTCCCAAGGAGCTGGGGCTGTCACTCTCCCCCACGCTCAGCAGGGGTGTAGGCCAGGCCAACAGCAAGTACTAGACTGGGGCAGGACTTCCTGAGGGTGCAGGGAGTGGGGTGTGCACTGGCGAGGAGGGGTCTGTGCCAAAGAACAAGGTATTCGTGGTCCTCAGGTGCTCTACACCTGTCATACAAAGCCTGACTTCTCTCCTTTCATGCTCAAGACTTCAGGCTGGAGAAACCCATAGGCCTTCCAGCCAGGGAAAAGGGGAGCATGGGGGGCCCAGCAGGGGGATGTACAGGTAGTTCATCTTTCCCAAACAGTGTTTGGGCCATACCTTGACAGTGAGTTTCTCAGGGAGCAAACACATCACCCACTAAGCCCAGAAATCCCAAGCGCATTGGAACAAGGTGACTATTCAGTGCCAGCGGCAGTTTTGAATGCCCCTTAACCTCTGTCCATGTGAGGCTCTCACTGTAGTCCTCCATTCTCCTCAGTGGCAGAGGGCTTGAGAATTGGTCCCTTCTCATTTACTTTTCATCTTCCTGCTGTCCCTCCCCCTGCTCTTTGCCTTCCAGTTGGCCTCTGAAAACTGAGGGTTAGAGGGGATGACGCTGAGATCTGCACGTGGGGCAGCCGAGGGCCACAGTCCATCACCACCTGCCCTCTTCCTCTAAGATTATGGGTCCCTGTAAGTATCTGGGGACACAGAAGTAGCTGGAGCTGGGCTTTCTTTTGGGGGGTCAAATTTCTAGGGAAAGGAAGGGGCGTGGCAACCTGAGGTCGGGTGATACAGCCTGTCCTCCTCCTCCACACCCCCACCTCCATCTCCAACCGATTCTGCACTGGAGACAGAGATGGCGTGGGGTTCTGTGAGGTGCCCAGTTGGTAACAAGATGGGAAGCATTCCCTTCCTTCCAGCTGTAGGCCCTGGACCTTGCTCATTGCACCTTCTCAGGGTAGAGAGGCCACCGGTGTCCCCAGGATGGCCTGTGCTGCCTCCATTCGGAAGGCACAGGGTCTGAATCAGACCCTCGATGTAGGCTCCTCCCATTCCCCAGCCCGGCCTGCTTTGGTCCTCAGGCTGGAAGGCCAGACAGGCAGCAAGTCTGATCTCTGGGGACTGAGGCTCCCTGGGGAGTGGCTGCTGTTTTGCTCCACAGAAGGAAAAAGAACGTCCTGGAGTCTGCCCAGTCCAAAAAAAGAAGTTAAAAATGTGACAATCCCAGAAAAAAAATGTCATAAACTTTGGGAGGGGTGTCGACAGAGGTGCTCCATTCCCATTGCTACCCTACCCATACCTTTCCTACTGCAACCCCGGTGGGCCTCTTCCTAGACAGGCCAGGACCCCAGTCCTGCTGGTTCGCACCTGAGATAGCAGGGCAGCCGCCCCACCTTTCTCGGGTATCTGCTGATGGGGTTATCTGGAGGGTCCTGTTTCGACTGCAGGACCTCTTCCTCCAGCTTCTCAAGCTCCCACCCCTCCCTTAGGGAACTCGCCTCAGCGGCGCCCCACTCACCAGCGACCCAAAGGCGGGGCGGGGGCGGGAGGGCCGGGTTCAGGCTGGGCCCCACCCTGGCTGCCGAAGGGGTGTGTTCTGCAGCAGCAGGGGCTCAGATCAGAGGGCAGGAGGTACTCCTGCGGCGCGCAGGAGGAAGGCTGGGGTCCTGGGGTGCAGCGCCTCCCCCGCAACTTGTAAGGCCCAGTGGGTACCAGACCCTACAGAGTGAGGTGGGGCGGGGGCGGTAGGGGTGTCCCTCCTGGCTCCTCCCCACTAGGCTCTGGGGGTAGGAGATGCGGAAACCAGGCTTCTTCCGGCCCCCACCTTTGAGCAATCACTTCCCCAGGATTTGAGCTGCAGAAAAAGGGGAACCCTGCTGCGCGTCCCCTCCTCCATGCAGGGAGGGCGGGCTCGGGTCCTACTACGGCTCAGGTCCACGTGGGCCCGTGGCCGCAGTCCCGGGAACGGAGCCCCAAGTCGCCTCCGAAGCTCCTGCCCGCTCGGCCGCTCCCCTCCCGCAGTCTGGCGCTGCGCGCGCACTCACCCTCGCGCTCCCGTTCAGCAGCCTCCGCCCGCGCGTTCCGAGGTCCGGCCCGCCACCGAGTAGGGGGCGCGGGCTCAGTGCGCAGGCGCCTCCGCGACACTTCCCCAAAGCAAGGGGCTGGGACTTCCTCAGGTCGGGAGGCCGCATTCAGCCCCACCCCGCCCCAAGCTGCCCCGCCCCGCCTCTCCCCGCTCTGCCCCGTGCTGCCCAGCGCCCTGAGCACTATCCCGGGTGGCCCGCAGGATGAGGCACTCGGAGGGTGGCACAGGTTTAGCCCCACCTCTGCTCAGCAGGCTTCTAGCCTTTTTGTCACTCAATAGCCGACCCCAGGCGCCACTTGTTCTGTTGGGCAAGAAGAGGTCCCTGCCAAGGAGTGATTTTTGATCCTTGCCTTTTCTGAGCCTCGACAGTAAAATGGAGCCCAGAGCCTACAGGCCTGCTGTGGGGTCTACCGAGAAGGGAAGGAGGGCGCTGTAGTGCAGGTGCTTGCAGCCAGTCATGCCCAATGTGCGTGCGTGTGTGCGTGCGTGCGTGTCTCTGTGTGTGTGTGTGTGTGTGTGTGTGTGTGGACACTGACTCATTCTCTGGCCTTCAAACTGCCGAAGGTGGCCTGATATTTAAAGACCCTCTGTCCCTTTGGCATACTTTCTTGTCCCTTCTGGCTGGGTTGTGCCTGATGTCGGTTGTTAGTTATCCAGTGGGCTTAGGCCTAGTGTCCAGGGGCCTTGAGTCTGTTCCGGATCTGGTCGGGGGAGGCTGCCAGAACGGTGTGGCTTCCACTCTCTTAGCACGCCTGAAGGCCGGCAGACTCAGGTGTTGCAGAGCTCACAAAATGCCTTCCAACTGCACAAGCCATGTGTGCACACGTTGAACAGAATTCAAGCAAAGTGAGATTTCACCCAAGGAGTATCCTGTGCCACCCCTGGTGCAGAATTGTCTCAGGCCATTGTATTTGTGGCCTTTAAGGGTACTGGGCTTTGTTTTCAGCCCCCAGCCTCATGTACAGATATGGAGTACTGACTGCATGGGGCACTGCCCTGCCCTGACACCCTCGAATAGCTCTGTGATCCCCATTTTAAGGATGAAGAAATGTAGTGCCAGAGAAGTGATGAAATAAATGTCATTTTACTAAGCAGATAGAATTCTTGCAGGCACTCAGTAAATGCCAAGAGACAAAATCCTAGGGTCCAGGTGGTAGGGAGCATGTCAGAAGCCCAGGAGACCCTCATCAGTGGGAGTGGTTGCTAGTCATGAACAAAGTGATCGCTCCCCTTCCTTTTCTGCCCCTGCCAAGACCCCCATCTTTCTGGCCCCCTATCCTATCTCTCTTCTAGAGACTCTGCTTCCCCTGCGAGCTATTGCTGACTTGTGATCTCAGTGCAGTCTGGGCTTGAGTCATGGCCAGGGCAGCAACAGCCAGCAAAGAATAAAGAGTCAAATACAGGAGGATCGGGGCTGGCTGAGGTGGCAGAGGTTCTAGAGGACTGGGGGATGGCCACCAGTGGATGTATTGCTTTCTTTTTTTGTGTGTGTATCTTGGTATGATTTTATTCAAATTTCTTATGCAAAATGTTTATTTACTTTGAGGATTCTAATTTTTTTTTGTTTTCAAAGTTTTATTGATAAACATATAGCAATGAGACAGTTTCAAATCAAATCGAAAGTACAGTTTCAAGAAATAATACACTAGGGGCTGGAGAGATGGCTCAGTGGTCAAAAGCACCTACTTGAAACAAGCTTGGCAAAGCACAGGGACC